CGGACGCCGCGCGGGCCGATCGCGCCTCAGCCCCGCCGCAGGTGAGGCTGGCCGGGCCGGGGCTCCGCACGTGCGGGGCCGGGGAGACCTGGGCATCTGGAGGAGAGGGGTGGAGAGGAAGTGGGGCGTCCGAGGAATGCAGGGGAGGAGGTGGATGGAGGGACGCTGAGCAGTCTGTCTGCCTGCCTGCCTTTCTGTCCATCTGCCTGCCTGTCTGTGTCTGTCTGTCTGTCTGTCTGTCTGCCTGCCTGCCTGCCTGCCTGCCTGCCTTTCTGTCCATTTGCCTGCCTGCCTGCCTGCTTGTCTGTCTGTCTGTCTGTCTGTCTGTCTGTCTGTCTGTCTGTCAGTCAGTCTGCCTGCCTGTCTGTCAGTCTGTCTGCCTGTCCATCTGTGGAGGGCCAGGAGGCAGCTCTCGGGGGAGACAGGGATGGTGACAGGCCGGGAGCTGGCTGGGGTGGCAGGTGTGGGGCCCACAGGATGCTGGGGTGCCAGCGCCGAGCACCCCGTCCCTTCCCGGAGGGGAGTCTAGGAGGCTCTGGGAGAAGGGGTGGGGGGTCTGGATTGGGGAGCGGCTTCTGCTTCCCAGGAAAGGCTGCCTGCCCCCGGGATCACCATGAAGGGGGGCGGGGGCTCTGGAGACCCCAGGGATTTCCCTGGGCGACCCTGGTAGACCCTGGGGGGAATTTCAGGTCCAGGCCGCCGGGCATTTGCTGGGTTCGCAGAACCTGGCTGCACCTGGCAAACATGGAACCCCAACCAGGGGCCCTGGTCCACTGGAGATCAGCTGCACCTCCACGAGGGCCACCCGGTCCAGCCTGGCTGCGCGGAGCCACCTTTCCTGTGCCCCAAGCTGGGTGACCCCAGCCAGCCTGTCCACCCTCTCTGGGCTCTGTCTCTTCCTCAGGGTCTGCTCAGAGCCCAGGTGAGAGCTGAGCTCCAGGGAAGTTCCTTGGGAACCACTCTGTACATTCCCATCACATTTCTGGGTCTGGAAGACACCGAGGGGTGGTGACTCTGTTGCTGGGGCACCCAGGGGCCTGCTGGGACTTGTCCAGGCTGCGTCCACCTCTGGGTGCCTGGGGTGTATTGCCATGCTCGAAAGGCAGGAGCACTGGGCCTGGGGAGTCTGACAGAGGATCAGTGTCCCCGTCTGGGGTGATGGGGAGCCTCTGGGCCTGCCAGAGCTGTGGGAGAACTCTGGGAGACAGGCATCCCCTGGAAGCATTCATTGCGCTGCACAATGGGCCTTGACCTGGCCAGCCATGTCATGGTCTGTTTATTTATCTCGTTGAGATGAACTCTAGCTGTGCTGCCCAGACTGGTTTAGAACTCCTGGGCTCAAGTGATCTACCTCCCTCAATCTCCTGAGTAGCAGGGATTGGAGCTATGCATAACAAATATGGGCTTTATTTTTATTTTTTATTTTTGTCGGTTGTGGGGCTTGAACTCTGGGCCTGGGCGCTGTCCCTGCGCTCTTCAGCTCAAGGCTAGCACTCTACCACTTGAGCCACAGCGCCAACTCCGGTTTTCTGGTGGTTAATTGGAGGTAAGAATCTTGCAGACTTTCCTGCCTGGGTTGGCTTCGAACCTCCATCCTCAGATCTCAGCCTCCTGAGTAGCTAGGAGCCACCCACACCCAGCAATGTTAATTCTTTTTAAGACAAGGTCTTGGAACTTTTCTTCTCAGAGTTGGCCTCAAATGACATCATCAGCCTCCTAAATAACTAGAAGCCTAGTTATTTAGCCACCAGTGCCTATTATTATTTAAAATTTAAAATTTTATTTATTTTTGACACTGGCAGTGACTTTCTATGTCCCTGACTGGGAACTACAAAGTTTTTAATCTTCCTATCTGAACTTCCTGGATACTGGAATTATTATTTTTTAACTGGTATAAGAAACATGAACGTTATTCATATTGATGGGGTAGCATAAGATGTTTTTGCTATATTTATACATTGTATAATAGATCATGGCCTTATTATTTTTATCTGAGGTTAGACTTTGTTCTCCCACAAGATAAAATGGTCTTAAAGAGAATTGCTGAATAATCAGAGCCCAGAAAAGCAACAATGAATATTTTGTATGCCAGGAAGGAGGCAGAAGTCTAGCCAATTGATGCTGATAATGAGTTAGCTTTAAACTGCAAGAGGGCAGAGTAATAATGCCCTGATCTCTCACCTTTAGGGATTAATTTGCTGTTAGCTCTCCAGGACAGTTTTAAACTGCTCTGTTCACTACTGAGATGCTAGCGTTCAGCACAGAGTAGGTCTAAAATCAACACTGTTGGAATGGCCCAGAGCTTCAAGGCCCCTGTGAAGTCATTGGTGAATGTACTCTCTCCCTTAAGGGGTGTTTTGTTTTTGTGTTTGTTTTGTTTTGTGCTTATACTGGGGCTTGAACTCAGAGGCTCTCACTTGTGCCTAGCTTTTTCACTTAAGACTAGTATTCTACCACAGCTCCACTTCTGGCTTTTTGCTGGTTAATGGGAGATAAGAATCTCTTATATTTGTTTGCCAGAACTGGCTTTAAACCTTGATCCTCAGGTCTCAGTCTTCTGAGTAGCTGCAATTACAGATGTGAACCACTGGCACCGTGCTTCTCCTTTGACTTTTGGTAGGGCCATCTAGGGGAAGGGTCACCTAGGGACTGAGGGGCTGAGCCAGACCCAGCCCCATGCCAGAGTTCACACTGAGCATCTGGGATTTTGTTTTGCTCTCATCAGAGCCCAGGAGATAGCTGATCTTGCCCTCTGATTATAACCCAGGGAACCAGCTCAGAGAGGTTAAGGAACTTTTTCCAAGTCACTCAGCAAGTTACAAACTTGAAGGACCCAGGGAGAGGATCATGGCTTCTTTTGAAAGAAATCTCAGAGGCAAGTGGTAGGTGCCCACTTTTTGGGCAGTGGGCTTTTCCATTTCTCCAGGGTGGGTACGAGGTGCTTCCCTCCTGTCTGGATCTTCTAGGCCAACTGACATTGTGTGGGAGAGCCCTTCAGGACAGGGAGCCTGTCTGCTGTAGCTGTCTGTTAGGTCATGAGGCCAGGTCTTTTTTTTGGGGGGGGGGTCCGGTCATTGGGCCTGAACTCTGGGCCTGGGCGCTGTCCCTCAGCTCTTCGGTTCAAGGCTAGCTTGCTCTACCGCTTGAGCCACAGCGCCACTTCCGGCTTTTTTCATTTTGCTTATGTGGTGCTGAGGAATCGAACCCAGGGCCTCAGGCATGCATGGCAAGCGCTCTACCACTGAGCCACCTTCCCAGCCCATGAAGCCAGATCTTGATGTGAAGTCTGTGGATGGAGTGACGAGGCCTCTCCCTCTCTGAAGCTCACTGCCCTGAACTGCACAGCCCATTCTTCTGTTTTGCCCCAAGGGAGCTATGACAGCCTTTAGATAGGTGTGTCAAGTGAAGGTGAGGGGAGGTAGGGATGGCAGGCCTGGAAGAGGGAGACAAGGAGGTGACCTTGAGTTTCAGGAGAGGAGCTGGAGCTGGGTGCTGGTGGCTCAGGCCTGTAATCCTAGCTACTCAGGATGTTATAGCCAGCCTGGGCAGGAAAGTGGAGGTGTGGCTGAAGTAGAATGAAGGAGATGTGGGAAAAGGAACTCGTGGCCACACATAGTAGCACATGCCTATAATCCATACTGATGGCACTGAAGGAGAATGATCTTGACTTTGAGGCAAGCCCAGGCTGCATAGTGAGGCCCTGACTCAAAAAACAAAACAATTGCTGGGCACTGGTGGCTCACACCTGTAAACCTGGCTAGCTACTCAGGAGGCTGAGATCTGAGGATCGTAATTTGAAGCCACCTGGGGCAGGAAAGTCCATGAGATTCTTCTCTCCAATCAACCACCAGAAAACCAGAAATGGTGCTGTGGTTCAAGGTGTTAGAGTGCTCGCCTTGAGTGAAAGAGCTCAGGGACAGTGCCCAGGCCAAATTTCAGCCAATTTTCCTGGTCCCTAAATACACCATTAGGGATAAAAGTTTGAGGTGAGTTGGGTACTGGTGGCTCACACCCGTAATCCTAGCTACTCAGGAGGCTGAGATCTGAGGATCTCGGTTCAAAGCCAGCCCAGACAGAAAAGTGAGACTCTTATCCCCAATAAACCACTAGAACATTGGAAGTGGCGCTGTGGCTCAAGCAGTAGAGTGCTTGCCATGAGCTGAAGAGCGCAGGGACAGCACCCAGGCCCAGAGTTAAGCCCCACGACCAACAAAGAAAAGAAAGTTTGAGTGAAATAAACTGTGACACTAACTACCAAGGGGCTGGGCTGACTTTTTAGAAAATGTCAGGGAAATCTCTTAGGCTGGGGATAGTTCCAAAACTACTGCTATTCATATTAATAATGTGAAGGATCATTTATTGTGTCCCTGAAGTGTGCTAAAACTTAGTTGTGGTTTCCTTGATAACTGGCAGCAATCTATCAGGTGGCTAATGTAATTCACGTGAAGGAGCTAAGGATCAGAAAAGGTGAGTCACTAGCCTTATGTCACACAGCTGGTACATTATGGAATCAGGTGTCAAACCTGGTTGTCTGAAGTTTATCTCCCAATAAGCCTTTACAAGAAAGTAGCTTCTCTCTTCTCCCCCCCTCCCCCGCCAATGCTTTTTCCTTCTGATTAGGAGACAGGAATCGGCCAAGTTTGCCTGACATCCATCAGCCAGGCCCTGGATACCCGGTTCCCAGCCATCTTTGCTCTGGACTTGTCCTGTGTCCTCTGGTAAGTCAGAGCTTCCGGCCAGCCCTGGCCTCCTCCACATGTCTTCTGCAGACGTGCCCAGTGAGCTGCTGCTTCCAATGAGGTCTGGTGAGGAGGGGACACAGGTTGGCCTGGATTGTACCTGTGTGGGAGTTGTGCAGGGAGGGGAGAGGGATGGGAGGTTGTCCTTAGTCCCACCCTCTGGTGATATCACATGACCCCTCCAGATTCTGTAAAGCCCTGCCCCTCACCTGTGGAAGTGTCTTCCACAGTGCTTGCCATCTGGTGACTTTTCCCAGTCCCCACCCCCACCCCCAGGCTCCAGAGAAACACCCCCAGGTAGCCTAGTGCAATTTACTAGGCCTGGAAGGGCCTGTGAGGTGCGCTGGGCTGGGCTGGGCTTGGCTGCCTTGAATAGGCAAGGCCCGGCAGCTTGGTGGGCAGACTGCTCAAAATGCCCGCCCCCTTCCCCTTGGCTCAGGGAGGACCCCTGGGCCTCATCCTCGTCTTTCCCTTGGATTCCGGGAGGAAAATAAATTCTGCAAGGAAAAGCATTTATGTGGGTCCAGGGCCTCTGCCTGAGGTCTAAATAGAGCAGCGGGAGCTCTGTCTCAGTATGCTGTCTCTGGGTTCCAGCTTTGGGCCTACTGTGTGGAGGGCATGGGGCCTTGAGTGGGTGCAGTAAGCTGGGGGTTCCCTGGAGCTTGAGTTACCAGAAACATAAGAAGATGGTTTGCCAGAGAGGACCTGGCTGTCTGATTCACACGCATCTTCCAGAGTGGCTCTGTGGGATGCAGGTGGCTAGGGGGTGGAGGTGGTGGTGGAGTTTGTCTGGCAAGGTTTTCAATGGGCTTTGGAGTTAATGAATGAACGTAAACCTAAATTAGGCACCGGGTACCATCACAGTCCATAGAATGAACGATGCTTGTAGAAGCTAGTAAGCACACAGCCTGAGGGTAAAGTGCGCTGCTCCACTCTGCTAGGTGGGTAGGATAGTTAACACCTGGTGCTTCAGTTTCTTTATTTGGTAAATGGGAATCAGGAGCCTCACCAGGCTGACTGGAAGCTTCCATTGATTAGTTCCATGTAAAGTGTTAGCTCTAGCACGGGACAAGTGCTGTGCAAGCCTTTGCTGTCCCGGTGTCACCCCGCCACATCATCAGGTTCCCCAGGGCAAAGGTCAAATCCTTCAGGCAGGTCCTTGATGCATGAATGGAAGACAAACCGTGGCACCCGTGATAGGTCAGAGGCACAGGGACAGGCGGGGGACCCTGCAGGAGCATTGTCCTGGCCTGGGTGGATTTCAAGGCATGGAAAGGAAGTCTGTTCAGGGGCTGTTCAGTCATTGGGGCTAATTGGAAAGTGATGGGAGAGCCGGGCGTACCCGGATGAGGGGCTGGTGAGAGTTAGTGGCCATTGGACAGTGAGAGGAGGGCCCAGGAGGAACTAGGAACATTGGGAATGGGGTTGAAGATGAGGGTTGTTTTTGTAGGTGTGTGTGTGTGTGTGTGTTACTAGTAGTGGGGCTTGAACTTAGGACCTCATGCTCTTGCTTAGCTTTTTTTGGCTCAAGGCTGGCCTACTCTACTACTTGAGCCACACCTCCACTTCCAGGATTGGTTGTAGGCTGGGAAGGGAGGGGAGCTGGGAGGATATTTCTCAGGAAAGGAAAGTAGCTTTTGGGTGAAGCCTTGAAGGAAGGGTGGGGTACGTTGTGAGATTGCTGTTAGATGGTTCTTTCATTCAGCAAACACTGAGTTTTGCTGAACACCAGACGGTCGGTCACAAAGTAACAAGATAAACTACTCCTACTGAGCTCACAGTGACAGCTGTGACGTTCAGAGGGTGTTCCAACCATCAAAGGATGATCAGATTGTAGCTAACTCAAGCACAGAGATGGGGGGTGGGAGAAGGAAAGCACTATAGAAATGGGCTCAGAGACATGAAAAGTGTTAGGAAAATAGAGGAGAAAGGAAAGAAACAAGCTGGACTCAATCTTGCACAGGTGAGGGCTGTTTATTGAGATAGAGTAGCAAGGGACACAGCCTTCCTGTGGGCTTGGAGACTGCGCAAAGAGCTGGGACGGGAGTTGGGTTCTTGTGAGGTCTGAGCAAGGAGACAGAGGTTAATAAAAAAGCCATTAGGTTTAGGGAAGTGGGGGGCTTTTCAGTTGGGCCCACCAAGGAATATTTACAGCCAGGCTCAGGTAGATTACTCCGCCCAAGTCAGGCAGTCTACACATCTCTTTGGTGGCTTGCCTGGTATCTGTTTGCACCTGGGAAAACCGAGGGGGGGAGCAATCCTTCTTATTCCATCTTTGGATACATAGAAAGAATGGACTGAGAAGGGAGCAACATGAGATAGGAGAACAGAGAAGATTCCCATCAAATTGGAGTTTTCCAGGTAGGCCACGCTAGGCGCCCGTGGCTCATGCCTGTAATCCTAGCTCCTCAGGAAGCTGAGATCTGAGAATCTCTGTTCAAAGTCAGCCTGGACAAGAAAGTCTGTGAGACTCTTACTCCAATGAACCACCAGAAAACTGGAAGTGGTGCTATGGCTCAAGGGGTAGAGCACTAGCTCTGAGCTGAAGAACTCAGAGACAGTGCCCAAGTCCAGATTTCAAGCTCCATGACTGACAGAAAGAAAGAAAGAAAGAAAATATCTTAGAGGAGACAACCTATGTAAAGCTACAGATATATGAAGCAGTGGGCAGGGAGAGTTTGGTGAGGCTGTGGCTGGATTTGAAGTGCATTGTGGTTGAGTACCAGGGCTAGGGGAGGCAGAGCCAGCAGAGCGCTTAGCAGTGGGAGTGGTGTGTCTGCTAGTGAAGTCATTGTTGCTCCCAGGGGCTTAGAGGACCTGTCCTCATCTCCTGGATTCAAAGTGACAGGTATATATCTTAGCAGAGAAAACAGCTGGAGCTGCTGTGTGGGGCCTAGGCTGGGAGGCAGTGAGTGAGGCAGGGAGCCTGTTCTAGGTCCTGGGATGTATCAGTCTGCAACGATCTCTTTATTGATATTACTTTTGTTTTCCTTTTTTTTTTTCTGTTGGTTGTGGGGCTTGAACTCAGGGCCTGGGTGCTGTCCCTGAGCTTTTCTGCTCAGGGCTAGTGCTCTACTACTTTGAGCCACAGCTCTACTTCTGGTTTTCTGGTGGTTAATTAGAGCTAAGAGTCTCACAGACTTTACTGCCCAGGCTGGCTTTAAACTGCCGTCCTCATATTTCAGTTTCCTGAGTAGTTAGGATTACAGGTATGAGCCACCAGGGCCTAGCTGTTGTTTTGTTTTTCTCGTGCTGGTACTGGGTCTTGAATTCCGGATCTGGGTGCTGTCTCTTAGATTTTTCTGCTCAAGGCTGGCATTCTACCACCTGAGCCACAGCTCCACTGGAGCTTTTCGGTGGTTCATTGGAGATAAGAATCTTTACAACCATCCAAGCTGGCTTTGAACCCTGTTTGTCAGATCTTAGCCGCCGTGGTAGCTAGGAATAAGTCTTCTTGCTCATATGAGGGGGGAGCTGAGCTCTTCCTGTCCACCACTCTTCCTTCCTCAAACCCGAGGACTGAGATGTTGGGAGGAGGGGGGAAGACCTGGGCTGGAGGGGGCTAGGTTGGGGTAGGTGCACCTGACTTAGTTCTGGTCTCTCTTCCAGCTCCTTCCCCAAGTCTCAGCCATGGCCATGGCGGTAGCCCAGAGGTTCAGCCACCTGCTGTCCAGTCTGTGGCAGGTTGGCCAGGGGCCTGTGCAGCCAGAGCCCGTGTTCACGGTGGGCCGTGCCGAGGTGCCACCCCTCTTCTGGAAGCCCTACATCTACGCGGGGTACCGGCCTCTGCACCAGACCTGGCGCTTCTACTTCCGCACACTCTTCCAGCAGCACAACGAGGCGGTGAACGTGTGGACGCACCTGCTGGCTGCGCTGGCGCTGCTGCTGCGGCTGGCCGTGTTGGTGGGCACGGTGGACTTCCAGGAGGACCCGCACGCCTTGCCACTCTTCATCATCGTCCTGGCTTCCTTCACCTACCTCTCCTTCAGCGCCCTGGCACACCTCCTGCAGGCCAAGTCGGAGTTCTGGCACTACAGTTTCTTCTTCCTGGACTATGTGGGTGTGGCCGTGTACCAGTTTGGCAGCGCCCTGGCACACTTCTACTATGCCATTGAACCTGCCTGGCACGCCCAGGTGCAGGCCATCTTCCTGCCCACAGCTGCCTTCCTCGCCTGGCTTTCCTGTGCTGGCTCCTGCTACAACAAGTATACCCAGAAGCCAGGCGTACTGGGCCGCATGTGCCAGGAGGTGCCCTCGGCGCTGGCCTACGCGCTGGACATCAGTCCCGTGGTGCACCGCATCCTGATGTCCCCTCACCTTGACACGGACGACCCGGCTCTTCTGTACCACAAGTGCCAGGTGGTCTTCTTTCTACTGGCTGCGGCTTTCTTCTCGACCGTCATGCCTGAGCGCTGGTTCCCCGGCAGCTGCCACATGTTTGGGCAAGGCCACCAGGTGTTCCACGTCTTCTTGGTGCTGTGCACACTGGCTCAGCTGGAGGCTGTGTCGCTGGACTATGAGGCCCGGCGGCCCATCTATGAGCCTCTGCACACTCGCTGGCCCCACAACTTCTCCGGCCTCTTCCTACTCACTGTGGCTAGCAGTGTGCTCACTGCCCTCTTTCTCAGCCAGCTGGTGCGCCGCAAACTCCATCGGAAGATCAAGTGAAGGGTGGGTGACAGCTGGGGGTGGGGAGGGAAGGGAGCATGAGAGAGGGGCTAGGGTAGGCAGGGGGCCCTGGCTTAGCTCCAGATGGGGACAAGGCCTGGTCAAGTTGCTTATGTCTGGCCACGGTGACTCACTGCACACACCTCTGTTGGTAAGGTCACACTGGTTTGAGGACTGGCCAGGATCTTTTGGGCCTGCCCAGCTCCCTGACCTGGGAGAGGGAGAGATGAAGGTGTGGACCCTCTTCCATCCCCCGCTCCCCCGGCTGCCCATCCACTGCCTCATACCACAGGGGCTGGTCAGCCTGGGTCAGGATCCTAGGGTGGGGCTTCCAGGTTGTCTAGGTGGGAGGTGAAACTTAGGCCACTATCAGATGGGAGCTGGGAGGCTCCACCACTATGACAGTTCAGGAGAGGCGAGGGAGCAGGGTCAAAGATGTGCCTGGATTGTTGACCCCCACCCTCTATTGTAAGGGAGTCCCATCCTGTGTGCACATCCTCCCGGTCACCACCCAGTGTTCCCCAATTCTCCTAGCTCTGGTCTCTGTCCCACACAGTGGTGTCAACTTCTGCCCCATTTGCCTTGTTCCTGATGGCACCAGTCATCACTCTGTTTCCTGGCCCTCTAAGTCAGTGCATCAGGGCAGGATGACAAGGGCTTTCCCGGAATGAACCATCCAAGGAAGCACCTTGGGAAGAATGCTCAATGCTGCCTGGGGCCTTCGGGGTATTGGGTCAGGAAGGGTGAGTAGGAGTTTGCAGAATAGAAGGGTGTTCCAGGCAGAAAGGAAATCTTGTGCAAAAGCCCAGAGATGCAGGAGTTGTTTTGTGGGGCTGGAGTAGAGGGTGGTCTGAACTCTGAACTCCTGGATTCAATAAAGTGACTGTGATAAAAGCTGCCTTTTTGCCTTTGTCTGCTCCCCACCCCCACCCTCTCTCCTGGTACTAGAGTTTGAACTCAGGGCCTCAAAATTGCTTAGCTTATTTGTTTAACTGGTACTCTACCCACTCAAAACAAAACAGACGAGCCACACCTCTAGCCCAGCAAGATGTTTTGTTGGTTATTTTGGAGATAAGAATCTTATGGGGCTAAGAATGTGGCTTGGTAGGTAGGTAGAGTGCTTGCCTAGCATGCACCAAGCTGTGGGTTTGATTCCTTAGTACCACACAGTGCCCAGGCCCTGAGTTCAAGCCCCAGGACTCAAACCAAAAAATATTTAGGGTTGGAGATGTGGCTCAAATGGTAGAGCATTTGACAAGCACAAGCCTAAGGTCTGCTCCTGGATGGCAAGCAAAGTCTCCGCCCAATACCTGTGTTACCTAGGCAACTGGCACACCTGGAAGAGGTCACCTCTGGATTCGAGGTGGCCACACCTTCCCCCCCCCCTCCCCACCCTAGATAATGCCTAGCCCAGGGTCAGCCGCTCTCTTTCCCAAGTCTTTTCCCAGCTGTGTGGAGTGCCAACATGGCCTGGTGCCAGCTGGAATAATGAATAAACCTACCCCTTACCTGAATACCACGTGCGTGGTGTGTTCTTACTCAGCCGCCTCTCTTTAAAACCTTAACAAGTACCAATAAATAAATCCTCCCCACCCCCCATTTCTTTTTCTTTTTTATTGTCAATTGTAGGGTTTTAACTCGGTGCCCTGACTCTGTCCCTCAACTTTTTCACTCAAGGCGAGCACAGTGCCACTTCTGGTGTTCTGGTGGTTAATTGAACACTGATCCTCATATCTCAGCCTCCTGAGTAGTTAGGATTACAGGCATGAGCCACCAACATATGGCTTTTCATTCTTCCCTTCCTTCCTTTCTTTCTTTTTCTTTATCTCTATCTCTCTCTCTTTTTTTCCAGTCCTGGGACTTAAGCTCATGGCATAGCCACTGTCCCTGAGTCTCTCTGTGCTTAAGGCTGGCACTCTACCACTTGAGCCACAACACCACTTCCGGCCTTTTCTGTGTATGTGGTACTGAGGAATGGAACCCAGGGCTTTGTGCATGCTAGGCAAGCACACTACCACTAAGCCACATTCCCAGCCTTTTTCTTTTAATATTCTTTAAAAACAAAAACTCCAACCTCTAAGTGAATAGTATTTCTCCACATCCTATTCTACGATGTGTCTCAGTGGGACACCAGCATTTTGTATCTGAAGTGCCTTCAAAATTTGTAGAAGCTTCACAAATGTTACCTCATTTGATCCTCTAAAATCCAAGGTTACATAATAATTGCTGGGAGGTTTTTGTTTCCGTGCTGGGGGTGGAGCCCAGAGCCTGGCGCGTGCGGAAGACGGGTTTGTGAATCCGATTTTTTTTTCTTTTTTGTGGTCGTGGGTCTCGAACTCGGGGCCTGGGCGCTGTCCCTGCGCTCTCCAGCGCAAGGCGAGCGCCACCTCCGGCTTTCCGGCGGTTCATTGGGGATCAGAGTCTCCCGGACTCTGCTGCCCGGGCCGGCTTTGATCTCAGCCTCCGGAGCAGCTGGGCCACTCACTCAGCCGTGAGCCCCGGCGCCCGGCTCGGATCCGAGGTTTGATTTCCTGTCACTACTCCCGGGAGTGTGGGGCACCCGGCTCTGGAAGGAGGCATCCCTGGCCCTGGTCCACTGTCTCCCAGGGGGATGGTGGCGAGGAATCACTGAGGGCAGAGCAAAGCCCTGGGCAACTCAGCGTCCGGGAGAACCATTCACCAAGCAGGGCGTCCAGAACCCCTCCGAGAGCCGCTCCACCCCGGAGACGCCAACGGCGCGTGCGCGAAGGGCTCGCCGCCGGCGGCTCCGACGCAGGGGGCAGGGCCTTGCCAGAGGCGGCGCTTACGTCACGACGCCAGCGACGTGCTCCCACCTCCCGCGTTGGCGCCAAATCCAAACTCTGCCGGCTCCGGCTCTGGCGGTTCTTGTGGCGTCCGCAGCCCGTGGGCCGCAGCCGGTCTCCTCAGCCGCCATGAGGCGGAGAGGCCCGGAGGAAGAGGCCTGCGGCGTGTGGCTGGACGCGGCGGCGCTGAAGAGGCGGAAAGCGCCGGTGAGCGGGACGGCGTCGAGGGGCTGGAGGAGGGAGGAGTTTGGGGGGCACCTGGGGGTGACGGAAGTAGATGTCTGTAACAGTTTTGGGGCGCACGGGCGACGGGGGCGGCTGCGTGGGGGTCGGGGAGGCTGGAGCAAGCCGCGGCGAACGCAGCCCCGCCGGGGGAGGGCCGTGCTACGTACAAGTGGGGCTCCTCCCCCCACCCCCCCTCCTCCCCTCCCCCC